GAGGAATTATGCAACCGAGATCGGAGATTGCGACAGACACGGTGGCTCAGCCGAAATCTCCGATTGAGCTTCTTCAAGAGAGCAAATCCTCCGTCGAGTCAATCGTCGCGAGAATGCTTTCCATCAAGAAAAACGGAAACCCCAAATCCGAGAATCGAGAACTCCTCACTCAGATCTTTCTTAACTTCATCAATCTTCGTCAGGTTCCCATCACTCTTCTCTACCATTCTCTCAGAATCGATTGTTTCACTCAGATTGGCTTCGATTTCTCTTTCGCAGGCGAATCGTGAGATTCTAACGGAGGAAGAGAAAGTGAAAGCAGAGACGGAGTTAGCAAAATCTCCGGTTGATTTAACGACATTGCAGCTCCACAATCTCATGTATGAGAAGAGACATTACCTCAAAGCTAACAAGTCTTGCAGAGATTTCAATTCCAGGTATCCCAACATCGATCTCATATCCGAACAAGAGTTCTTCAGGGATGCTCCTGAAGCAATCAAATCTCAAACTCTTTCAAACGATACTTCACATGATTTGATGCTTAAGAGACTCAATTTCGAGCTCCATCAGGTAAACTTAACCATGCCTAGAATTCAGTGTTCTAATGCTGTTATGAGGTTGATAGAAAAAGTGGATTGAATGTTGTTTAAGCTTTATACGTACATCTTGTGCAATTTAGCGGAAAGAACTATGCAAGCTTCGAGCGAGCTTGGAACAACATAAGAAGTGTCTGCTGGAAACTAATGCAGAGCGTAAGAAGTTTCTGTCAAGTCTTCCAATGCATCTCAAGTCTCTAAAGAAAGTGTCGTTGCCAGTACAGAACCAGTTGAGTTTGCAGAATCAAAAGAAGCTGAACCATCATAATCTAGCTGAGCTTCTTCCTCCGCCTCTTTATGTCATATACTCACAGTTTATGGCACAAAAAGACGCTTTTGAAGAGAATATCGATCTGGAGGTCTCTGGGAGCCTTAAGGATGCTCAAACTTATGCTCGGCAGCAAGCGGAACAAAACTCGGGTTAGAAAGTGTGAAACCTCTAGTTAAAATATGAACTGAATGGAGTGCTTATTTTTTCTTCAAATGATGCAGAGAGTCCAAGATTGGAGGACGATGGACAAAGGGAAAGAAAGCGACCTAAGAAAGATGGTTATGAGGAGGCAGCACTACTTTATCAAGTTCATCCTCTCAAAGTCGAACTTCACGTTTATGATGATGATGAGATTCCGGATCCAAAATCCCATAAACTTGTCGTGCTCAAGTTCGAATACTTGTTGAAGTTGAATGTTGTATGTGTTGGCATTGAAGAGTCTCAGGATGGATCAGAGAAAAATACCCCCCTATGCAACTTATTTCCAGATGATGATGGACTTGAGCCTCCTCATCAGGTACAACTGTATTTCCTTTTTTTGTGTCTTACTTTCGTTCATCCGATTTTTTGTTTAACGACTCTTTTCTGTGTTTACGCAGTCAGCCAAGCTCATTCTCGGCAATGATCATGCATTTGATGAGAGCAGAACATCGAGGCCGTATAAGTGGGCACAACATTTGGCAGGGATTGAGATATTACCTGAAATGTCACCATTTTTAACTGACAAGGATGCTCAAAACAGCGATACAGCTAAAGGCTATGGTTCTCCATCTGATCAGCACAATGTGCAAACTGTTCTGCAAAGAATACGGTCCCAGAAAAAATAAAGGTTAAGCTAACTCGGGTGTGAGTCACACCACTCTGTATGTTTTACCATCTTTGATTAGAAGAGAAGTATGATAAGTGATAATAGTGGAAGAGCTTCGTGATATTTATTTGTAAGCCAGTTTGGTATCTGAATTTGAAGAAGACATTTCATGATATTTGTTGATTCTGAGTATAGTTATTAAGCATATCAGTGTCAATATAGACATTTTTTGTTTTTGTTTTTGTCGTGCATATATGAATTTAAGCCCAAAAGGAATTCAAACGAACGGTACAAGCCCACATATTTTACGCATATCAAATCTCCACCGTTCCCCACTGAATCTTCAACTTCTGTCAAATTTTGTTGCAAAGCTGCTACACACATCAAATCCGGTCCACGCATGAAGATCCACGTTCCCATTTCTCCGATCACTTCCCATTTCACAACCTATATAATAAGGCCCATGACCATCTATGGATCATGGATGAGTAAATGCATCATTACTCCTAGTCGTAGATAAAAGAAGTGCGTCAGAAATAAACCTCCTTGTTTGTGGGTTTCGAAGGTTGCTGCTTGGTTTTAGAGTCCAAATCAGACTAAATTTCCAACCCAAATTTTGAATCTGCGGCGGCGGGAATGACTGGTTTTACTGGAGTGTTGGGCGTAACAATAACAGTAGCAGAATGAGTTTTCATAAATTCAGAGCCGAATTGTTGGATTTTTTGGGAAAAAAAAATTAAGATGTTCCGTAGTATAACAGTTTCGTAGCGATAAGATTTTGTTGATACAACTGCGGATATTTTTGTCTTCCAATACCAGAAAATAAAATCTATCGAACCAAATTTCTCCGAATACTCTCAAGATAAAATATAAATAAAGAATAAACTGTGAGGAAATTGCTTAATTGGATGATCAACACGAGAAGATGATGGCTTGAATTTTATAGCCAAAAGAAAACTCTTAACGTAAGAGTCATAAAGTGTGGAGATATGAGATTGATTATCATCATAAAGTTTTACGTTTTAACGCTAATTGAATTTTAAGTAACAAAATTCAATCCAAATTTGATTTTGTCGTTACAAACCCAATTGAAGAGACAATATTTTGATCAAACCGATTGTATTATCATCTCCAAGAAGACTAGGAGGAGCATTCAAAAGATACAATACCAAGCTTAGCTAAAGCGTCGGCTAAAACATCTTCCGAGCGAGAAATAAAAACAAAAGAGATAGAAGTGAAATTCTCCCTAAGACAACGGATGTCATGAAGGAGCGATTTCAGCTCGTTGGTGACACCATTTGTGTTGATTAGTGTCACAAGCGAGAGAGAATCCGAGAAACAATAAATTGTTCGGAATCCTGCATTTTTAGCTGCAATTAAAGCGGCTTTCAAAGTTAAGGCCTCCGCAATCAATGCCGAAGCCACGTTCCTGCTGGAGGTCGAGTCTTGACTTATGATTTTCAGGCTAGCATCTTTAAAACACCAACCAGCACCACAGTCATGAGTTGTAGCGATTCAGGAAGCATCCGTGAAGCACAGGACACTGTGTGGTAGTAAGGACAGAGGACAAGTAGGCGGCGTAATAGGCCTATGTTTAACGTCGGGGAGCTGAGCATCTTGCCATGCTTGAAGAGACAATATATTTATCAATTTTAGGCATAAAGCAAATCTAGAAGTATACACAAACTTATAAACGTTTCTCTTTCCATTAATAAACTTTTAGGCATAAAGCAAATCTAGAAGTGTACACAAACTTTTAGAAGTATCCACAAAGTTTTAAACATCGTCATAAATTCTCCACAATATCCTTGAGATATTTCATCGGTAACTTCCAGTGTAGAACATTAATTAATTTTTACATTTAGCCAAATTTTAAAACTTTATTCTAAGTTACGTATTTTGGAATCTCCATTTCTCACTCAAACAACTTTGATTTTGTCAAGTGAATATACTATGTTATAGTGTTCACGGGGAAGATTTCATCGTACCCACAATCCAACCATTCCGACGAACATCTTCACCATAAATCTCACCGAAAAATAGAGTTCTCACGATTTTTGCCATCTCCGTACTCGTCTTAACATGTGGAACGGCTATAACCAGATGTTCCTGTGCTTCTGCATCTCTCATTTCATAAAAAGGAATAGAAAGTTCGACACACAACAGAAAATGTTTGGCGTCAAGCCTAAAATAAGAGAAAAGGAGGATGCATGATTTTACGGCATGATAACAACTCGTACTGAGTTCCATTCAGAAAGTTGTAAACAGAGAACATCTTGCATAAAGCCTTCAGACATTACAAAAGCAATCAAGATTCACACTAAACTTATATTGTAGAGTGTAGATAGTGCATTAGATTCAGCAGAGAACATCTGGCATCAGCTCATACATCAGATTCTAATGCCATGGTTACAGCTTGTACGACAGATAGAATGCTTCAACATGAACAACAGGGCATTTGGTCTAGTGGTATGATTCTCGCTTTGGGTGCGAGAGGTCCCGAGTTCGATTCTCGGAATGCCCCTTTTCTCCATATGAGTTTTTCTAATGCTCCCTGATTTTGCTAGATAACATTCAGCAAGTCAACAGTGTGTATTTGCCTTATAATCAATATTAAAAATTACAAACAATCCACCTTTGCGATGACTGCTGCAACTAAGTCAACTAATAGAAGTAGATCTACAACGTACCTTTCTACTTAGATCTGCTTAACAAAACAACTTTCAAATAACAGATTCAACCACCAAAACCAGTTTCGCGCGTTATCACGAAGAAGTCACTCAACAGCAAAAGTGAAATAGCAACCCATATTGAAAAACAGAGTAAAACACTAAAAGAGAGATAATTCCTTCTGACAACATAATACTTGAAATGAGTTAAATGAACAGCACTGGTATGATTCTTGCTTTGACTGCGAGAGGTCCCAAGTTCTATGATTGGAATGCCACATTAACTCTTTTTCGAAAATATGCTCTAACTTCCAGCTAAAACTTTGCTTAGAGATCAATCTTTCTTAGTCCTAGATTTTACGCAGGTCTTGTTCAAAAACTAAAGGGTCATATATTTCACTTTCATTTCAGCAATCGAATTCATTCACATAAACACCCCTAAAGTTTCGTTATTAAGCGCTTAATGCGTACTAAAAGAACATACCGAGGTTTAAAGTCCAGTCAATAAATCTTTTCAACAAGTAAACTTCATATAGGGAAGACCATCAAGTTTTGTAAGCAGCAGGATGCACAACCAATGAGCTGCAGAAAAACAAAATGAATTGTGATTACATCCAACGGAGAAGCAACAAATCTCTTCAACAAATGAGAGAATCCAAATAAAATGCATTAACAAAGCAAGATATAAAAACAGGGCATTTGGTCTAGTGGTATGATTCTCACTTTGGGTGCGAGAGGTCCCAAGTTCGATTCTCGGAATGCCCCGTTGACTTTTTTTGGAGTAAATATATTCAAACCAAACTGGCATCCTTTCTAGCATCCATTGCAAACCATACATTTCAGTGCTATTCCAGCGAAAGAAATTATAAATCGGGAAACAGGAATTGGCTATAAGACAGTGTAAAGCCGGAGAACAGACTAGGGTACAAATCAAGAGGTATTCTCTAGGGTCTTAACAAAATCCTCTATATAT